CCCCAAACCCCCAAAACCCCAAAACCCCAAAACCCCTAATATATTTTTATGTATTGATAAAATTAGTTTATGAAAGTCCAAAATAGAACTTCTCTTGGTCAAGAATAAACCTCACAGCACTCTCTACTTCTTCCTTCGTCTTAAACATTGGCAGATCGATGGAGTTAAATCATGTATGCGCACGGAGGAAGAGATTTCTACCTGCGGATAGAGAATTTATAGAGAACTTTCATAAAGTTCTACTATTTCGTTTGAGACCTTTGAAGCCTTCAATAGGAAGAGACCTTGAGCCCGTACAAAATTGGAGGAATTTTCTCTTTTCATCATTATTAAGACTAACAATAACCTCCCAGAACCATTTTATTGTATCATGATTTTTGTTTTTCTCATATTCACCTTTATAAAATGTATTTTTCTTCCAATCTTCAACATCGATTTCCTTCAATCCAAACAAAATTTTATCAAGTTCATAAAGGGAGAATACAGTGATAGTTTCCTGAGGAATTATATTGAAGAAAGCCTCAGTAAAAGCGGCTGTTTGAATTTCTGCCCTCTTATATGTATAATGCTCAACCACAAGGCGGGAATATTCCTCCTTGTTTTCATTTGTCAACTCAATATCTGCTCCATTTTGCTTTAATTCGACAGTTTTTCCATTATCAAGAATGGTAAAATTCATGCATAAGTCTGAAGCATTCACACTATCCTGGAGGATAAAAGCGATTGAGCTGTAAAGCTGTTCATCATATAGCTTTAGATCCTCCAGCTTAGGCTCTTTTAAGAGCATTTTCATTAACAGTAGTTTAGAAAGCCTTCCGTCAAGAGGTGCTCCTTCAAATATGGCTTTACCGAGAAACTGACCGGCAAAATGTCACATTCCATAAGTTGCTTCTGGATGAATAGTGTAGAAGGTATCCTCACTATTGTTTACCATTTCAAAAATCTTAGCCTCTGGTTTGAGAATCTCAATAGTAACTAGGTTTAGCCATTCTCTGATGACTCCTCCAGCATCACGAGCATTCTCATCAATAAAGAAGATTTTTAGATCTTTGCGAAAATCCAGCCTATCAACTGTGGAGAATTGGTTAAAAGTCTCTTCCAAGATATTATCTCTGGAAACAACAAGAGTGATTGTATCTCCTCAAGAGCTTACTCTGAGCTTTGCAATATTCTCTCTAAACCAAGTCCTTTTCTTCTCAGCATCGTATTTAGATGCTTCATCAGCATTTGCCTTAGAAATATCTTGATCATTCTGAATGTTTTGAGCAGCCTGAGTTCTTCACGAAAAGAGGTGTTGGAGGAGCTCGTCCTCATCAGAAATGCCCCTGCCTCATTCAGGACAGTACATTGGCTCTTCAAAGTTTGAGCTATCATCTGAGTCTTCTTCTGAGTCTGATTCGCTGTCAGAACAATTTGAAATTTCAATTGTATAGTTTCATAAGCGAATAGAATCTATAGAAGGTGAGCAATTAGCTGATACATAAGATTACTTACGGCTTTCGCTTGGAGGAAGTTTTTTCTCCTCTTCTTCTATGAGTGCTCTATAAGGAATGTTAAATTTTGTTTAAACTTATTTTAATAGCTAACTTACCTTCTCGGGGTTCTAGCAGGAATTGATAAACTAATAGGAATAGCTTCATCCTCAATTTTGCTCGATTCAGATATAGCAATCTTCTGAGGCCCGTTCTTAGAAACATACGATGATGTTCAGCAACCCATTTTTAGTATTTTTAATTTGTTCCATTTCCCTAACTTTTGCGGGGTTTTGGGGTTTTGGGGTTTTGGGGTTTTGGGG